TTCTTAAAGTTAAAAATGCACGAATATAGAATCCAGTCATAGCTATTGAAGGAATAATAGATAGCATAGTAACATACACTGTAAAATAAACTTTGGCATTAAACCAAGGATAGATTTTGTCAATGCAAATACCATATATGCTGTGGTATTGAACAGTGATGATGTCAACGATATAAAAACCAGATCCTATAAGCCACGAAATAAGTAAAATCCATTTAAGCCTTGCTTTTGTGCCTCCGCCAAGTGTTGAGAGAGGATGGACAATAGCTTTATATCTTTCGAACGCCATTGCCGTGAGCAAAAGAGGTGAAACAGAACCGCCAAAAAGGTAAGACCACTCGACTTTGCAAAGTACTTCAGCTAATGTGGTACTCTGATTATATGCCTGTTGGAGTACTGGTGGACCAAGGACGCCATTGCTATCGCTTGTGATAACAAAACATATTCCAAAGAAACCAGTCATGGCGTCTAGTATAGCAAGATTTAGTATGACATAGTTCATGGACGTCTTCATGGATTTAAGTCTAACGATGACATGACAAACMAAAGCATTTCCAATGACACAAATTGCTCCAATGATCATTGCAGAAATCTGCATTAGACGGACAGTTATGTCATCCATATTTGCAGCCTAATCTACAAAATTCTGTAAAATATATGTTCTCAAGGAGCGCTTTTTCAATATCAATCGGTCATCTGTAAACTATTGGTGTTTGAAAAAATTGATCCAATGTCAAGTGATTCATCATGAATATTCATTAGCTTTCCGATATAGAAGATAAGGAGGTACAATAGAAATAGTCTTAGTCTACAATAGGAATAGTCTTAGTCTACAGCCTGTTTTCTTTTTTTTCCCTAAACAATAAGCAGAGGCATAAGAGGAAAACAACAAAAAAAGCAATTGAATAAAAAAAGCGATGGAAAATGTATAGGAATACGTTTAAGACAAGGCATTATACATGAATTAAATGCAAATATGTATATAAAAAAAAACAAAGAAAAATAGAACCCTTCTTAATCCCTTCTTAATCCTTTCTAATCCTAAAACCTATGCTTATTATGTATGGAAAGCCAGCAATCAATGTTATCGATGATTTTATAATTAAAGAAAGTCAAAATACAAAAAAATGAATGTCTGCTTTGGAGATGGATATTGGAAGTGCTTCTATTTTATTGTTATTTGCCATGCCGAGAAAATACACTCATCTTTCAGTTTTCTTTTTTCTTTTTGCTTAGGTTATTTTTCAGTTGTTCCTACTTCGTATCTCTACTTTCTAAGGTGACAATTTTCTTTTTTCCAAGTTTGTGTAMATTTACTTTAACACCAGGAAATTCGGATTCCTATTGGTTATAATCTAATTTAACTTCGTATCGCAAGTCGTCAATCTTTGTATTAAAAAGTGACCAACACTTCTCTGGAAATTGTCCTGCACCTAAACAGCTGCTAAACAGGTTTATTCAGATTTAGACTTTATGTAAAATATTGATAGTTTTCACTAACCATTCCCAAGAAACTCAAAATATAAATGACTGGCGGCCATGTTGGAGAAATGCTATGGAATGACCAATAGATTAATGAAGTCCTTCCAAGATGGCCGCTGTGGTGATATAGTGAAAACGAAGAATTCTTTGTTTAACAAGGTTCTGACAAGCTCTCTCTTTATAGCTAATCCTTTCAGCAATATTTAGTTCACGACACAGGGGGCCCAGGCTCAACAGTTGTGTTGCTTTCTCGGCGGTGTCAAAGTATTAATTTCGTGGTTCGCGTTTCGAGCCCTCAGTGGAGCCGTAATTTTTTTCTAATTCATTTCTTGAGACTTTTCAAGATTTTCTCTTTCTTTTCTTTTTTCTTTAATAAGTATAAACAGTTTTATGAATAAAGCTTGATTTTTAAAGCCATTTTTATATTTTCCCCCCTCGAAAATAAAAATAGACAAGGGAGGTAAGTCAGAGATCGAAATTTGCCAACCGGCTCTAAACTGCAATCTCTAAGACACCTTTAACTTCACCCAATGGACATCAAACTCCGTACAGCTTTCGATCAATACCTAGTTCTCACTTGCCACCAATGTTCAGCCTCCAGTGAAAAATATTTTCCGAGATATTTTAGTCGGAAGATCAAAATACTCCAGCCTACCAATGCACGGTACTTTCAACTCGTGCACCAACGGAAATGCCTCGCTCTGGGGTGAGAGGACGTGATGTAATGTAGTTGTAGTTTTCATAAAAATCGTAATGCAATTCACCGTTACATCGGTGTTCGCATTCTGTTGGAGTTCCTAATTGTCTATGAACCTGAAATATTCAAACTGCAATTTACTACTTCATCATAACAAGAATTCAAGAATCCTTGCTCTCCCCGCTTCGGCTCAATTATGGGCACCCGCTGGCTTATGGGATCGCTGACTTACCTCCCTTGTCTATTTTTATTTACGAGGGGGAAAATATAAAAATGGCTTTAAAAATCAATATTTATCCATAAAACTGTTTATACTTATTAAAAAAAATGAAAAGAAAGAGAAAGTCTTGAAAAGTCTCAAGAAATGAAGTAGAAAAAAATTACGGCTTCACGGAGGGCTCGAACCGCGAACCACGAAATTTAAAATACTTTGACACAGC